GTGTGCTCTTCCGATCTTTTTACCAAAAAATTTATTTGGACACTTGAATTTATAATAAAGATAATGGTTTAAACGGATTTCATGTATTATTTATATTTTGCCAGAAAAAAATTCCTAAAAATTAGCTTGTTTTTTTATCTTGTCAGGATATACTAACTTGTTCTTTGTTTTAATACCCACTTCGAAATTGTCATATTTATTTAAAGGGTCTCACCTCCCCTGAGACCTTAAAATGATACCTAAGTTTGGGATTTTTTTGTGGGTAAATAGATAATTTTATTTAAAAGCTGTTTAGAGGACATTGTTGTACATATATAAGAAACTAAAAAATTTTTTATTTTTTTATGCACAAAATGGCAGCGCAATGACCTACTTGCTGAATCTATTTTTTCAAATCGGTGTACAGGATTCCAGGCACACGGTTTGCTCTTGAACAAAACACAAAGAATTTTCATTATCTACATATTAAAGACTGTAGAGGTACGTAGGGGTTTTCTAAAATATTGATTTTACTCGAAATGGCAGCTATTTTTACGAAAAGTTCGTATTTTTGTCAATACAAGACTTTCGTAAAATAGCTACCATTTTGAGAAAAATCAATATTTTAAAAAATCCCTACGTATCTTTCTAATCTTTAATATGTAGATAATAAAAATTCTTTATGTTTTGTTCAAGGCCAAACCGTGTGTCTAGAATTTTTTACACTAATAGAAAAAAGGGATTCCGCAAGTGTAGGCCAGTGCGCCGCCATTTTGGACATAAGAAAAATAAAAAAATATTTTTTTGGTTTCTTATATATGTACAATAAAGTCCTCTAAGCAGATTTCAAATAAAGTTATCCATTTACTCACAAAAAATTCCAAACTTAAGATATTTTAAAATCTCAAGGGTGGTGAGACCCCTTAAAAAATTTTTATCTTTTCACTCACAATCAGTCAACGAAAATATTGTTTTCACAGTACAATTTCTTTCGATATTTTATATATTACATGTTTTTATTCGGAATAAGTGATAAAACTTAAAACGCCAAGTAATGAAACACTTACATTGCATTTCTCTCGGAGCTCCACAGCAAACTGCAAGAGTTCATCTTTCAGCATCTGATAAGACGGCGTAATGATGGTTGCGTTGTGTAAGGATGGACCGTCGACAGACATGGTTGTGTCTGCATTCGTATTCAGTCGATTAACAGCGGTATCCAAATAAATGCAGAATAATACCAGAGCCACCTCGGATGGCCTGAGACTCGCGCAATTGCCATTGCAAGCCACCATTTCCAATCTGCGAATCAATTCGGATTCCTGAAACAGGGACATGCTCGTAAGCGCGGTTTGATCGTAAATTTTCAATGTTAATAAAAAAAATATTTATAAGATTAACATAAGGTGCAACGACTTAATAAATACTTTGACAAATACTTCGAATTCCGTCAGCGCTTTTTAATATGGGTTAGCGTAATATTTTTTTCTTTTTTTATTATCTTATAAATCAGGAGATAATAACAGAGTTGCCACAGAAAATGAATTTTAAAATTCCCTGACTTTTCCATGATTTCCAAACGACAGTGGAAAATTTTCCATAATCAGTATCAAATATAAAATTCTAAATTTTACCGTTTAGAAGATACATATTACAAGAAAAGTAATTTATATTATTTCAAGCAACATAAATTTAGAAGTTTAATAACGTAATATAATCTCAAATGCAAATTCAGGCCAACAAATTATTAATATCTTCGACATTGTTGCTTTGAAGTTATGTGTTAAATTACAAAAAAAATTCCTTTGGTATAACTGAATTTTTCGTTGCTCGGGGACCAGACAAAAACTCAGTGGTAAAAGCGGAAAGAGATTCCTGTAGACATTTCTTCAATATCGCTAAATATTCAGAATTTTCGGTTGCGATAACAGAGACAAATCTCGAACAAAACCGTAATTTTCGAAAATTTTTTCGATTTTCATACAAAATCATTTTATTGTTATTTTCTATTGTTTAATTCTGGAAAAGGATTTTCAGAAAAAGCAATACATACAAGAAATATGACGATACCGAACTATTCGTTAAGAGTTACAGAATCGGGGTGGATCCCTTTTAAGGAGCAAAATTCAAAATTCCAGGTTCTTTTATATCTTTCCCCAACTTTTCCCGGTTCGCCCAATTTTCCAGATCTGCGGCAACTCCGTGACAGCTCACCTTGACGATACTGGTATACACGTCGCCAAGATGCATTTCCTTCGCCACCGCGTGAAACATATTGTTGAACAGCCGTAGAAAAGTCAGGGTGGTAATAGGCTCAGTGCCGGGTGCCCATTCCAATTTATTTTGTATCACCCCCGACATACGTGTCAAGTCGTGGGCCGTGCAATTGCACTGTGAGATCGAGATTAGATGGCGGGGCTCGTCGGCCTGCATCTGCTGGACGGCGGCTGTGTAAAAGGCTGACACTCTGATGCAGGCCATGTACTTCTGCTTCGCCTTTATCTTAGTCAGGAAACGGTCCATCAGATTGACCGCGATGAAGAATACGTCCGAGGGCAGGTCGTACACCACTTTGAGCCATCTTAGTTCATGAGCGGATCTATCCCGAGCAACAATCGTTATCTCGTCGTCCTGGAACGTATGGAGAGATTTTTCTTCGATAATTAAGCAAGTGCTTATTACTAATCTGTATTACGTTGAATCTTGAAACACAAAGAGAATACATTAAAGTCTCATTGATATCAAAAGATGTGTTGAAATGGTGGTATAGCAAAGCTTATTAGAGCCAATAAGTTTTTGATTCAGTTTAGTTATAAAATTTCCACCGCGCAGAATAATTGTTCTCACCTCATCGTGAAACGGTGATGTTGGGTTGATGGGTAATTGATGGAGGTCCGGTTGAAATTTGACCTCCTGGACGAGGTCCAGGACCAGGTCCTCTTGCAATTTTTCGAGCGGGGGGGTGGCATCCGGTACAGGCAAGCCCGTGTCCATTCCTGCAGTGTGTGACATCGCAACAGCTAACTACAACAATCCGACTACGACGACCCGGCAGCCAGGTTTGGCTGGTGTAGTGTGGCTGATGGGAAGAACCACACGTCAAGAATGGCGCAGCTGGCCAGCCTTGTATCTGTAAACAGAGTAACGAGAGTTATAAACAGAGATAAACTTTGCGCGTTCCATACAAGTCATCATTAACGAGAAAAATAAAGGTGGAGTATCACAGAATTCACCAACTTTTAAGGATAAATAACTCGATTTAGATTCGATTTTTTCTTAACAAAAAAAAAAGTTTTATCCAAAGGAAAAGTTACTACAGAAAGATTGTTATTACTACATTTTATAATTGTAATACATTTTCGATTTTTATCGCATTTGACAGATAATACACGGACCAAAGAGCGACCCAAAAAATCGCCCGTTTTTTGGGCCCTCGATTTTGAGACTGTGTGCCAAATAATACCTTATAATGAGACATTATAATTATAGAGAAGTTTCAAGTTGAGGTGACAATTGTTATCAGATTCGGAGGGGGAGGGGGAGATGAAATCAAAGTTCGTTATGGAATTATCACAGATTTGCGAGGTTTGGTATTTTAAGGGGGTATTCTCGTTTAGAGATCCAAATTTTTATGCTATTTTTGCGAATTTTTTTAAAAAAAGGTATGAAGTTTTTTGGGACAGGGTTTTTTCCTACATATTTATACATATTTGAAGTATGTTTCAAAATATTTGTACTTAAAAATAACTATAAATAAGCGCTGTATACAATATATACTAAAGTGAAAAAAAAAATTTGCTCCCATGATATTTCGAAAACCAATTGATCAATCAAATAGAGCTTGTGCACACATCTTCAGCGTGGCTATAGTCCCTACTACAATCAAGTCAAAATATATTTTTAAAAATTTTTACAATTCTTTAATGGTGAAAAAAAATTGCAAAAATCGAAACTTAATTTTCAAAATAATGTCAGTTTTTAAAGTTTCAATATTTTTTTTCATTTTAGTATCTGCTGTAACCAAACTCATACTAATTAAGAATTACTTTGATTTTTTTGTTTTAAATGAGCAGAACAGCCGGAATTATGGGAGTCGTGAATCAATTTTTTTTTCATGACCTCAGTATATATTGTATACAGCGCTTATTTATAGTTATTTTTAAATAACAATATTGTGAGACATACTTCAAATATGTATAAATATGTAGGAAAAAACCCCGTCCCAACAAACTTTATATTTTCTTTTAAAAAAAATTTGCAAAAATAGCAAATTAAAATATAATAAAATATTAATAAATTAAAAATTTGGCTTCTAGACTAGAATACCCCTTTACGAAGGTTGATCAAGCCGATGAAGGTTGATCGCAGTTTTACGTAAATGACGCTCGTTTTGGATGTAAAAAAAATCGAGTTTTCGCGTAAAGAGACGTAATAAGTGATCCCCAGCTGTGATAACAATTGTCACCTCAACCTGAAACTTCTTTGTGACTAATATCTCATTATAAGATACTATTTGGCACACAGTTCAGTTCCAAAATCGAGAGCCGAAAAGAACAGGCGAAAAAACCACATTTTTGTTGGGTCACTCTTTGTTCTTTTTCGCTAAAAATTTGAATTTTCTATTGGAAATTAGTGCTAATGCGCCGCAGGATTTTTTTTTTCGTTGTCAAAACATTTCTTCAGCGATTTGCAATTGAAATTTGTCAACGTAGATCGCACGCACGACGATTTGACATTAACACAAACGTTCCCGAAGGCGTTCGCATGCCTTCAATGCTGAAATAATCGCGCGTTATACGCGAACGAACGCATGATTGTGCAAGGTCGACCGAATCTTTTTCTCTTTTAGCACGACTGCTCATGGACAATATAAACAAAGTGCTACGTGCTGCAGACTCTGTACGCGCGCGACCCGATTTAAAAGAGAGAGTCTCAAGGATGCACCATCCCGGTAAAGCACGTTTCTTGGATCCTCCCCCTCCTCTCTCTCTGTTTCTCTCTCTCTACCCCCTCTATTTTTCTTCGATCACCTTCGCAGTAAGGTGAGAGAGCGGAATGTATAATTGTATATCGGATATATGTATGAAGCAACAAAAGTGAGAAATAATAGACATTGTGACCAGATCAGGTGCGTCTTCGCGAAATATAAGTGACGCCTCGTAAATAGTCACTTCGGCTATAAAGTTATTAGCTTACGTATAAACACGCCACCTATCAAATCTGTCGTTACATTAAAAAATCGCAAAATGTCAATGTCAAGATCGCGAAAGATATACGAGAAATCCAACTTAATATGATTTATGATAGATATATGATGGTATATCCGAGTTGAAACCCAGTAAACGAAGAAATGGATTAAAATAGATTTGAAAAAAATTCATTTCAACGCGAATGCGTACTTTCTGAAAACCTGAATTCATTTCAATGCCCTTGCATTCATTTATAGCAATTGCATGAGCACATTTTTCTATATGCCATTCAATCCAAAGAAATTCAGCTTTAAAAAATAAATCGTGAATAGTTAATTCAAAATTCTAGATAGGAAATGCAGTTTTATTCAATCTAATTAAATTCAAAAAAGTTTTTCCATGAAAAATGGATCATAAATGATATTCAATTAAAAATTGTGACTAAAAAATGCATTGTTGCAATCCAACTAAATTAAAAAAATATATTAATATCATATTATATTCGTAATATAAAAAAAATAGAAATGCATTCATTTTCACGGAGGCCAATTCATTTTAATCCATAAATTAAATAATTTTAATCCTTTCCCGTTTACTGGAAAAGTTATGCTTACGTAAACACGCCACCCAGCAAATCTCCCAGCAAGTCGTTACATTATAAAAAATCACAAAATGTCAATGTCAAGATCGCGAAAGATATACGAGAAATTCGACGTAATATGATTTACGATAGATATATGATGGTATCTCCGAGTTGAAAGTTAAAGGCGAGTCATTTCCAAATTAAAAGCGAAATCAACATCGTCAATCGGTAATTTGTCACGGTCTGACGTCACGGTAACGATAAGCGGCATCCTCCGTCGAAGGAAGAGAGTTATAATACGTATATCTTGGTCGAAATTTTGCGTCGTCTTTCGAACCGATGGACCATGATCCACGCACGATGACGCATCAACTCTCGCGATCGCAAATTGACGGAAAAAAAATAATGAGACGGTTATTTTTTTCGACGCACTCGCGAGAGATAAGAATTTAAATGCACGATTAAAAGTGCAAGTAAACAAGCGCGAAAACGTTCAAAACAAACTTGAGATATATTGCAAGCTACCTGCCCAATATCACGATGCTCTTACATGACTTACGATGCCTGATTAAGGAGGTTCCAGCGCTACTCTTTAGAGTCAATAAATAGTTTATTCTTAAAATTGTGTAAAACAATTAAAATAATAATATTAAAACATTATCAACAATATTTATTTCGCTAATGTCATTGTACATAATCATTATTAATTTTATATGTCAGTAAATATTTTTAAAATGGCAAAATAAAAGTTATAAGGCTTTTATTTGATTTAAGTATCAATAGCAGAAATATGAGTATATTTATTTACTGTTATATTTTAAAAATGATCAATAAAATATAATAAATTAAAAATGTATAAATTAACATTTTTTATTATTTGTCGTATTTTTATTATTGCATATCAAATATATATCGTTTGATGTTGCCACTATACATATATATCTACCTTAACTATTTGACAAATATTCTTGTTTTTCGTCATCAAAAAATATATAAAATTTCTCTCAAATTAATACAGTCAATTCAGATAAAACTTTACCAAAATAAACTTAAATGTTTATTTTCTAAGTATAACATTTTGAAATTTCTGTCTTATATGCAAATATTTTAAATTAAGAGAAAATATATGTACAAAATAAGATTATGTGTATATTTGTCATGTAAAATACTATATAATTATATTTAATTAGAATTAAATATCTTCTAAACGGTACGGTAAAAGTCAATAAAATTTTTTCTGAATATTATGAATATATTTAACTTTCGTATCATGTATGTATTATGGACTGTCTTATATTTCATCAAACGTTAGAACCTCCTTAAAACACACACACACACGACACACGCACACGCACACGCACACACACACACACACACACACGCACGCACGCACACACACGCACGCACGCACGCACGCACAAGCTAAAAATTTTATTAGTTGAATTAATTTCTAAGTAAATTAATTGGAGTCTGATTGCTTAACGGTTTATAGACTACCTGTTGGCTCCACACGCGGTGGAGGTTCCCTCCGAAAAGATCTCTCTGTCCCGAACAAATACAAATCATTCGTAAAATATGTGATAGCTTGGGGATTCGGCTAAAAGAGGGGGGGAGAAAGAAAGACAGTGAATGCGCAATGTTTTAAGGGGTTTTCATATACACCTAGAGGTAAACAAAAATCGATTTTTTTTTTAATACATATTTTTAAAGTATGATGTCTTAAGGATGTTTTTGTAAAGTTCGAATTCGATCCGACGAAAGATGAAACATCAGTTACACGAAATTATAGTCGAGTAGGTTCAAGCGCGTGTCAAACATGATCTGTTGCGTCATGTCTGCGACCGGATCGTAAAACGATTTTTTAGAAGCATCCACTTCAGCAGAGGGTTTGCTTTATGGCCCTGGAGTAGATGATTCAAATGTAAGTAAAATTTTTAATAGTTTTGTAGTGTAATCTGAATGTAAAACTTTAAACGAATTTTTCTCGAAACGTGATTTTCAAAACGCGTGACCACTATATCTCGAAAATGGTTTGGCCGATTAATTTGCAATTTTACACGCTTTTTCTAGACATTAAAAACTACTTCCCTACGTAGGATTTTTTTTTGAAAAAAAAATTTTTGGCTGCGAAAAAAAACGATGCTTCGTTTTTTTTCGCAGCCAAAAAACGAACAAGATTTAAAGTGATAAATCGCTACGTTGACTTTGGCCAGCTGCCATATTGTTCAAATGCAATATTTTGAAAAACGGCTACGTAGAGAAGTAGATCTATGTTTTAACTTTATATAACTCGTTGCATTTTGTTTTCAAATGAGTCTTGTAAGAGCAGCAGTGGTCACCGCAAAAGCCGTTTTCAAAACGCGACTAAGAAAAAACTTAAATAGCGAAGCCATTTTTTAAATCATTTTTTAATCAAATATATATATTTAAAAAGAAAAAAATATGGTCTTTTCAATGAAACAAACCCGACTTCTCTATTTCTTTTCGTTTCTTTTTCCGTAAAAAATTCGCAAAGTTAGACTTTGTTTTGACGTGTCTATAGGTGTATATGCCCCCTTAAGCCGTAGTCATACTAGCGATTGAGGTTGAGATTGGATGGAAATTTGACCAATCAGAAAAAAAATAACTAATATCAAATTTAATAAATTTTGCTTAGATTAGTCAAATCCCAATCCAATCTCCGCTAGTGTGATTACGGCTTTAAAGCTCGAATAGTGTCTTTCTCGGGCCGCTGCGAGACGACCGTTTAGAATATTCCAGAGCTTTGACGCGGAATGACGAAAGAAAGGTGCCGTGTTACGTAGATGTAAAGCAGCTCTGTAAATTCTTTTTTTCTCTCAATACAGAACGAACGTGCGTAATGCCTATTTTTCCCCCTATTTTTTATTTTAAATATGCCGTCTCTGATGGATTAAAAAATAATTACAACATTTAAATTTTTGCCAAATATTCTCGGAGCAATTTTACTTCCATCGATGCGCAACGAGTTACTGTATTACTATGATTTACCTAGAATTCACCGAAATAATCGGGACAAAGTATTTTTGCGTCGTACGAGGTTAAAGGTTACGTCATCGTTTTGTACCGCCAGAGTTCAACGCACCCGCGGCCCGACGTAAATGTTTATCGATTTTTTGGATGTTACATGTGTTAGAGGATGTAAATCCCACGCCACTGGCCGAATATTTTGGCAGCAAATAAAAATACAAATCATACAAAGTAAATTGTAGATACAAATAAAAACAGAATATAATTAAATTATGAAAGTTACGAAAATTACATGCAAAATATACGAAGTACAGTAATATTTAATAAAAAAACGTAACTAATCTATTTAATTGAGCCTTATTTTGGCAGCGAATAGAAATACGAATTACACACAGAGTAAATTATATATAGATACAATTAAAAACAGAATATAATTAAATTATGAAAGTTACGAAAATTACATGCAAAATATACGAAGTACAGTAATATTTAATAAAGAAACGAAACTAATCTATTTAATTGAGCCTTTGGCAGCAAATAGAAATACGAATTACACATAGAGTAAATTATAGATACAAATAAAAACAGGATATAATTAAATTATGAATGTTACGAAAATTACACACAAAATAATACGAAGTACAGTAATATTTAATAAAGAAACACGATTCACGTAACTAATATATTAAATTTAGTCCGAATCGAAGGATCTTAATCCTTTAATCGCCAATTTCGATGTAACGCTGTGCGGCAATCTTATCTGATATTCTCGAAACATTCGAAACAGTTACAATTAATAATTATAATCAGCGCGATCAACTATATTTTTTGGAATTGTTACAAGTCCCCTTCACATAATATAAATTAATTAATAAACAAGCAGTCCAATATGTAACACGATTTCTTTATTAATTAATTTATATTATGTGGAGAGAACTCTCGTATAGCAATCCCAAAAAAATATAGTTCATATTGATTATAATTATATTGAAGTAATCAGATAACATAAATCAAGGATAAAATAACCCGATCCCCGTTCGTCCGTAGGAAAACAACTCGGGAGAACAAAGGGTCAAGTTCGCTCGGTTCACAGACGTACTGGAAATTTCACCTCCCCGTTACATCAGATTGCGTGTCTGAGATTCTCAGAGAGATACTCTAAATCACTCTAATGTTTGTTTCGAGATCGCGGGATTTCGTTGTCACGCCGACTCCTCGAGTCGTTTAGGAATTAGGGGGATAAAAGTAACGACAATGCTCGTAACAAAGTCGTAACAAAGTTCATACGTAGTTGAGTACAATGACCCGCGCGCAGCTCACTTTCCTCGTTCAAATCGGAAGGTCAATCGATAAATAATCGTAAACGGTGTAAAGGAACTCCGTCCAAAACGATATCTCTCGAGTTTCTCCGATATGAACATCGTTAACTTCCATCGACAAGTACGATCTGCATTTATTGGAGGAACGTTCTCTCCACTTGACGTCGCGCGACATAAACGAATAATCGACGCACGAGAAGACGCTTGGAAACGACTTTATTCAAATCGGGAATTGCTCGGAGTTGGAAAATCTCTATCCCTCCGACCGAGGATGATTTGCCGCCCTGCAAATCCACGCGCGGTCGGATCTATTCGCGTGATTTAGGCGCGAGAGGGAAGTAGAAAGGGAGAACGAATCGCCTGCAGGTCACAACCTATACCGAATCGAGTCGAGGGAACTAATTTTCTTTTTTTTTTTCCACCCGTTATTCGTCGTCTCGACGAATTATAAGCCGTAAATGGAAATGCGCGGGCTAAGACAGTAGTGGCGAATGCTCACCCGGATGCGTCCGAAACGCCTCTACGTCAGCGAGTCACCCAATTTTGGCCCGCGTTTTGCTCCGGTCCAGGAGGATAAATAGGAAACAGAACCCAAAGGTACTACGCCGACTGGCGACGGTTGATCCGCGCACGACAATAGAGACGGCCACCCTCCTTCACCCCCTCCCGCAAGTTCCTCCTCTTTAATGCGTCGCCGATTCAGCTGATCATCGCGCGCCAATCAGCGCGGTGCTAAAAATCTATAGTGCACGTGACGTAGACTATAGATTTTCAGTGCTGGCAGTGAATTTTGGAACACAGCCGTTGGCAAACGGCGAGCGAGGTTGGCAGCACTGAAAATTACCATGTTTTCACCTAGCCTGACCAGAGAGGATCCTGAGAGCGGCCATGCCCGCGATTTAGCTGGGACTAGAGTCCTAGATTATCAGAGAAGCGCGACCGGTGTTACGAGTCCTGATTGGACACGCAAATGGCCAATCATAAGATTGATTTATCGCTATTATAAA